AGACTGTCAGTTTAACCTGAAGTCATGGCGATGCATACTATATAAAGGATCCCTAAACGTATGATCTTATGCAGATTAGTCCCTGAATATACATAATTTTGATAGTAACAAATAAACCTATTAAAATTGAAAAGGAGTCCCATTGATTCAGAACTTGGGGAAATCTACTAGCTTCATTTAGTGCCTTAGTATTGCAGGGAGGGCTAGGCAGTAGAGGACATAATGTGGTTCAGGGTTTGTGAGACAGACAAGAGGCAGTGTGGTGTAAGATTGCCTTACAACACCATTACACTTCATGCATGGACATTCAGTCTGTTGACTAGTATGTGCATTATTTACACGTGTAACCGTTATTCAGTTTGCAACAAAACACAGTATTGGGTTTCGTCATGAATAAATTTAGACATGATTCTATCTGAATCTTCGTGATGCTATTTAGCCGGATTACAGAAAGACAGAGACATGTGATGACCCCGATATGTTCATCTCATCCCAAAACACAGCTGGCACTGCTTCTGCAGCCGCAGCCACTACTACTACAGCATCTACCTTTGCTACTGCTGCTGCTTCTACTACTACTACTGCTACTACTACTACTGTTGCTGCTTATACTACTACTACTATTACTACTACTACTACTACTGCTGCCAGTTTATACTACTACTACTACTACTACTACTACTACTCACTACTACTATTACTACTACTACTGCTACTACTACTGCTGCTGCTTATACTACTACTACTACTACTACTACTACTACTGCTGCTGCCACTACTACCACTTACTATTACTACTACTACTACTACTGCTGCTACTACTACTACTACTACTACTACTACTACTACTACTACTACTGCTGCTGCTTATACTACTACTACTATTACTACTACTACTACTACTACTACTACTACTACTACTACTACTACTGCTGCTGCTGCTTATACTACTACTACTACTACTTACTACTACTACTACTACTACTACTGCTGCTGCTGCTGCTTACTACTACTACTACTACTACTACTACTATTACTACTACTACTACTACTACCTACTACTATTACTACTACTACTACTACTACTACTACTACTACTATTACTACTACTACTACTACTACTACTACTACTATACTACTACTACTACTACTGCTTCCTTACTACTACTGCTGCTAATACTACTACTACTGCCGCTTATTACTACTACCACTACCACTACTACTACCACTACTACTACTACTACTACTACTACTACTACTACTACTACTACTGCTACTATTACACCTACTGCTTCTACCACTACTACTACCCCATTTAAGTCTTTAAATGGCATTTAGACCCCATGAGTACTATCCCAAGGTGCCGCAATTCTCATGTTTGATTCCCGATAAGATAACTATTACTTATATAACTCCTACTAAACCTGCTACCACCTTATTACTACAACAACTCCTACTGCTGCTACTACTACTCCTTCTACCACCACTACTGCTACTACCACCACCACCACCACCACTACTGCTGCTCCTACTACAACTGCTGCTCCTACTACAACTGCTACAACTCTACTACTAATATATGTAGTATCTCTCGCCATGATTACCAGTGAAGATCCGGGTTAGAATGAACCTTCAGTAACCCATGCTTGTCGTAAGAGGCGACTAACGGGATCGGGTGGTCAGGCTCGCTGACTTGGTTGACACATGTCATCGGTTCCCAATTGCACAGATCGATGCTCATGCTGTTGATCACTGGATTGCCTGGTCCAGACTCGATTATTTACAGACCGCCGCCATATAGCTGGAATGTTGCTGAGTGCGGAGTAAAACTAAACTCACTCACTCACTCACTCGCCATGATCGTCACAACGCTGCCTCACTAACACCCCCTTCCCTAATACCCCCTTCCTAGCCCTACAATAACTTGAAAGGAGAGATTAACCTTGTCACGACTGATGTCATCCTAACTGGATGAACACACTGAATCATATACTACTTGCAATAACTCCCAATGTGTTCGCCTTTAACAAACCTTTCTCAACAGTAAACTCCGCTACAACCCGTGACCATCCACTGCCCTTCACCAACAGGTAATTCGTTCTATGAAATCGCGTGGCACGCAAACAGATGTGTAAAAAATGCCTGTCACAACGTTTGTGTTTGAGGCTAGCAAAAAGTGTCGGAAGTTTGAGGTTGCGCAGAAACCAATGCCCATATTCCTCACGGAGGAGACAATGCGATCTTTGATAACGGCCTCCGTCGTTTTGACACGGCCAAATTTAACCTGTTCAAATGAGATGTCTAACTCAGGTGTACAGGTAAATATTGGCCGGGCATGGGGCTCGCTTGTCGGTCACGTATGAAGTCTCCTGGTTAGGATGGTGTGACTCACACGGTGCATGACATCCAAAACAGCTGATCGCGTGCAAAGGCGCGAGTCGATTAGGACTTGGGTTTCTCAGGGACCTGTTGTCTCCAACCTTCATGAATGACTGGGAATGGGTTTCAGAGCGCAACAGTTTTGTAACACACTTCCATGATTTAAAGTGAGTGAGTGAGTGAGTGAGTGAGTTGGGGTATACGCCGCTTTTAGCAATATTCCAGCAATATCACAGCGGGGTACACCAGAAATGGGCTTCACACATTGTACCCATATAGGGTTTCGAACCCGGGTCTTCGGCGTGACGAGCTGACGCTTTAACCATTAGCATACCCCACCGCCCCTTCACGAATTAAAGAGTGTATAATACTCTCAGTAATGTAAGAACGAACGAGGGAATCTCTTTAGTCGTAACCAGCTCTGAAGGTTTGGGCGTCAAGTGTCGCAATATGGCTGACAAAATGCCGATGTTACGTTACATTTTAACTCACTGAAATCATGTACTATGAAACGTCGTTCTTTTAACTCACTGAAATCATGTTCAATGAAACGTCGTTCATCCGGGCGATAGTATTTTAACTGTGATCGTCTCGATTGATAAATATCCGGAAAGTCGAATCTTCGTATCGAAAGAATGACGCTTTGTATTTATGTAGGCAATCCCAACAGAAGAGTGAAAATCGTCCGGAAGGAGAGGGTTCCGGGTAATCTTAACCCGGAATAACGGGGTTTAACTGTACCTACCATCTGTACCAATACAACATATCAAGGATATCTCGGTGGCCCTTCCGTGTAAGGGATTGTAATTCGCTGTGTAAACATTTCGTTATTTTTATTATCATCGTATGGCATCGTTGGCTCCACGCCGACCCTTCGAATCTTGGTTACAATGAGTGAACCCATTTCTGTGTCCCCGGGCGGTGGGGCGTAGTCTAGTGGTTAAAGCGTTGGCTCGTCACGCCGAAGACCACGTGGTTCTGAATCCCCACATGGGCAACTACTTCGATGACAATGAACCCCAATGAACAAATATATGGAAAATGTTGACCCATTTCTGGTGTCCCCTGCCGTGATGACGTTGCTGGAAACGCTTTATTGCTAAAAGCGGCGTCAAACCAAACTCAGTCAGTCAGCCGAAGACATGGGTCCCCCACATGCACGTGCGGTGTCCCCCGCCGCTGGAATATTGGGCGTCAAACCAACTCAAGTCAAGCGCAGGCTAACCTACCTTTTGGTATGATGCAGCCATGGGATCGAACCATGTACACTACATAGGCGGCCTCAACTCATATTACAGAACCTGCCATTCCTTATTCTTGGGAGGGATGGGGTCTTGGGTTTTGTATAGAGGGCTACAGCCTCAAATTCAGATATATCTTTTTCATCAAAACTATACATTAACATTTTTCTGTAAAACAACTTGCAGTGACATTATTTGTGTGGTAGACAATTACTGTTTTGACAGTATACGCAGTGATGTAACTGTTTAGAACGACGTAAAACACAAGGCACTCACTCTCCTAATACTGATATAAGCAACGAAGAAGATTGGAAGTCAGCGGTCAACTATGCATGACAGGAGAATGGAGTTCGATTCTACACAGTGGTGTATTGGACCCCATACTAGGTGACAGGATCCTAACCCTTGTACACTGAATATCGGACTCCTTGTTATGACTATGCTGCACCCTGCGCTATCTATCAACGGCCATCAGCAATTTCACATTTTAACCTGCCACTCGGGAACAGACAGAAATCGTTTCGACCTCAGGTGGTCATAGTCGTCTCGAGTTTTGATCGATACGTGCCCCTATGGCACTAATCTGTGCTAAGGCTTACTTTTAAATACATTTTTAGATATACCGCGTTGTGGCAATGTTAATTTGGGATTTTGAACATGACAAGCAAGGTAATTATATGCATGTCATGTGAAATGTCAAGTAGCTTTATCGTATGAAATGTTCATCTTTGTAGACAGGCATACAAAGCAATTGTCATTGCCTTTGTAATTTTCTTTTCTCTTTTGAATATTAAATCGCAATTAAATGAAATCTGTGATCTGTAGATTGGTCTAGCCAATTTAAGTGTACATTTTATACACATTTTATTATAGGATATACATGTGTGGGTTGCTATGATGACTGAACGTGTTAAAACCAGGAAACTATCTCATTTGAGTTCTAGTCCTACACTTAACTTACTTCTCGAAATATATGTATTTACAAGAGGCTTGGCTTGTACACGCCCTAAGGAGTTGAGAATGAAACTGTACACTGATCTACTGGCCGGTAAGAATAGTGTCTTAGCGCATGTCCGTGTGTGGTGTGTACACATATCGTTATGAATATTCTGTTATTAATAACCTGAATACTGTCTTGCGATAACAACTTCTTTCCTTCAGAGATCCATCCCTGCATTTCTCACCAAAGTGACAATAACATCATAGACGACCAGTTGTATCATCCAGAATATTGTGATTAAATTCGGAGCACTGTGCATTGATTGCACACAACAGCTGTCTATCCCTCTCCCTCAGGCTGAAATCGACACCACCATGTCAATTACAGCACGGAACGCGTGTTGTCCCGACAGCAGTGCAATAAACGAGGTAACACAGATGTTAGTATATACCACATTTTATTATTGTGTATTTTTCCATTATGCTGTTTAAGACATCTGCTCTGTGAAACAATACATGACACAGGTCTTAAACGCATTACAGGTAAACCTTAAATTTGAATTAAATTAGCAATCAAATTCTGAACAAGATATATATACAACGCTGTTAACAAGGCAGCTATTACACAGTTTGACTTTGAGATCAAAACCACCCAATTCCATTGTGACGTAAGACTGGGTGTCAATTGCACTTCCCTTTCAGTGTCAGTAATGACAACTGAAATCGACAACTTTCAGAAAGATAGTGACACAAGATACGATACTTAGAAATGTATGATTGAAATTGACATGTTAAAAGGTTAAATGCAAAGTCCCGATGATATGTTTCCAACGCATCTGAAATGCAGCATCTAGTCATATGTCAATCATATATTTGTGTACCGTATTCTACACGAAATAGGTTCCGAATTTTTGAGCAATTACACAATTATTTTCTTTCTGCATATTACTGAAAGCCAATAACAGTTTCAAAACACTATTTTGTAATAAATTACTAGGTCAACTGATCCGTTCTTTTTTACAAATAAATTAAATTAAATATTACATAGTTTATACACTTATACATCACCATTATGCTCATAATGGCAATTTCGAAGAGCCCTGGAGATAATTCTTTGTATTCATCTTTGCTTTTTCGCCTACCAGATTACCGTGAAATTAAATTCTTTAAGGAAGTATTGGCATTAAGAAAAAATAAAATGTATTGTGTGCATGCGAATACACTCGTCATTTGATATGAAAATCTCACTCATTCAAATAATAAATTCAAAATTTCAATCACACTCTAAATTGCCCTTGTAAATGGGTTCGTTAAAAATTTGAATTTAAACAAAAGCCCTGATTTAACTTTGGAAGACCGACTTGTGACCCGTGTCTTATCGGGGTCAGGATCATCAGTTTGAACTCTGACACTTGTCACGTGAGAGATATCATGATAGAAAGAAAGGCTGAAGATGAGTGACAGCTGGACAATCAAAGGATAGAAAGAAGATTACAGAACAAAAGGATGAAATTAAAGTTAGGTTGGCAGTAGAAGCTTTGAACGAAGATGTTAAAAATGCACACGTTTCCGAAAGAACATGGCTTGGCTCACGGTTCTTTCGAGATTAAACATAGGAATGACAAAAAAACACATAGGAATGACCGACACAACAAATAGGTGAAAAGTCACAAAATTTCGACACAAGAGATCATAGTTCATAGCACATCCATGTCAGTTTCAGCCAGCTGTATAGTCGCACAATAGAGTCTGAACAATCCAATTTCATGTCTATTTCAATGTGACATCTAAATCACTCAGCGTCACAGGACTGTGATCTCAGTAGTCAGGATTCTGGCCTCCACTGCAATGAACTGCATTTGGTATCTCTTTCATCAGGATCTGTCTCTTGTGATTTGATCACATTTCACAGATATCAGTGTCTCTTTCATTTCACTGACCACAGGTCATTGCTGACTAGGATCACAATGGGGTGCAGGAGCCCGGATGTACGATATCATTCGTTCTTTCATTTTTCCATCCTGCCTCCTGCTTGCATAGCACTCGTCCTGTAAAACAGAAGAACATAAACATAAGTATGATATTGACATATGTTCATTTCGTGTACATTTCAAAAACTGAAATTTTATTTCAAAAACGTTTTTTGTTCGAATATCTCAGAAGTACTCTTTGTTCTGCCCAAGAATCCTCGTCAACTGAATGCATATTTTATATCAGGGGATCGATCATGTAAATTTCATTCATGTTTTTTATTGATTATTTTACGTTCGGTCAAAAAGAAGTAGCGTAGTCAGTTGTAGCCCAGGGGAACGCGTTGACTCGTCATCCGCATCCAAACATGACCTATGACACGTGACCCTAGGTCACGCAGCCTATCAGCCAATCAGAACGCCGCTTGGCAAATGCATGTCTTTCCCCCATCCCTGAGGCCGTGAGAGTCACGTGACACTATAGCTACCAGGCGCTGTGCAGATATTCTCTTCGCATCACGATAGCGACTGAGCTTTATGCAAATGAGGCAGCGCCCAGGGACGCTGCGCTGAATACGAGCCCTGTCCGAATTACTACGAGGCTAGTAAATTTATCTGACATTTTGAAACAGCTGAAACTTGGAAAACTTTTTTTAAAAATCTGTTTCATTCAAGAAGTTCTTCTATCAAATAAATTCACCGATAATAGCAACGTGTTGATGATTATCAAACTAAACATAAAGCAGAAGTTTTAGAACTGTGTTTCCAAATCGTTTGACCTTATAAGTTTACGCCAAGGTAATTCGAGTTGTCCATCTCTCTGGCTTAGGAGTTTGATCGTGAACTGGACAGTCAGGCACTAACATATGCATTGTTATGAAAATATATCTAAATTGCTTCGTCAAATAGCACGGGCAGTACAAAAAGCACTTGTGAAACATCTTACGTAAAACAATTTCAGAGGTATAAATACGAAATCAAAATGTGACGAAATTGAAACAAAAATATTAACACTATATGTTGAAGTATTGTCAATATCAGTGTTGAGTGATATTGACAACTGCTACAACCGCCAAACCTCAGACTGTTAAGTAAGTGACCTGATGTCAATTGTAGTTTTGTGGCCCTTTAAATCCCAGCCATCTCCCATACAGATACACAGAAGCGCTGTGGGGTAACTCTACAGGTCTAAACAAGTGCAATAGACATGATTTTGAAATGTGCACCTAACAGGTGAAATACACAATGCGCCTGCCGGGATTCTTGAGAAGACTTGCTTTTGATAACATGTGTGTAGTGCACACAATCTCAACTCGTTAACCAGCAATCGTTTGGCAGAAGATCAATTCACCCTCTTGTATCACTAGGCGACAAACAAAATAAACCCAAGGATATAATGGTACAACCTTTTAGAGAGAAGAGAAATTTTTATAGTAACGTGTAATCTGCAATATTGATGCCTGAGCAGAATGACTTAGTTCCCTTTGTCCCGACAATTGACACAGGTAGATCGGTCGATCAGTGTCTGTCTAATTCCATCTGTGTCTGTCATTTTGAACTGTGCAAATATCAAAACTGTCTATTCCAACTCATTCGGACACATTTTGTTAATGAGCAATTTCGCCTAAAGTAAAATATTGTCGATTTCGATCTGCAATAATCCGGCAATCATAAATACCAAGTATTGGTCAAATATAACCTTTCCTCTCGATGCATTTCCTTTGTCCCTTCGGTTTTCCCCTCAAACAAAGGTGGTCAGTTTCCCCTTCCCCTCCCCAACGCGTCCACACATGACCAACAGCGTGAATTGAATAGCAAGACCATCGCTGCAGGGGGGCTAGCTGAGTCTATCTACGAGAGCTCGTTAATTACCTAGACAGTGAGAGGTCTGTCTTTCAACTAAGCCGGCGAAAGAACCATGAATAGAAATATTAGGCAATGTTACCTCCTTATCTCAGTATGCGATAGACAACGAACTCAAGATGTAAATTTCCAATCGTAATTAACAGATCTTATCTAGTTATGCCTAAATGAACTGAAGACAAAGGAATCAGACCTAACGCCCGTGTAGTGCATATTTCATCAAGAGAGAAATCAGCAATAGATGCATGAAGGCCAGGACTAAGATATCAATAGAGTTCCCCACAGAACGCTATAAATGTAACACAATTGCCATATGTTTATGGCGATGTTGTTTATAGCTACGGATTGAGCAACTCCAAAACAAAGCCTGCCTGCATAGACTGGCAACAATTAGCCCGCTGAAATTGATAATGTTGGAAAGACCACTAACTTGAAGAATGGAATTATTAAAAATGAGGCTTACCCTTTAAATTAAATATCTCTATTATCACATCAGAGTCGGGGCGACTTTCCCCTGGGTAGGGATGTGTCGATGTCTGGGGACCTCCTCTTTCTGGGCTGATAGTGATCTGGAAGATGAAATCAACACATGTACATTTCATGTAAAAAAGTAATCAATTGCAGACAACATACTACACCCAAATAACACATGCGAGTCCTTGAATCAATGGTTCATGTTATTTTTAAATTGAAGGTTTTGATTTTTTTGTTTAAATTTTACAGCGACCTTGAGGGGTGGGCGGTGCCGAAATAGAGAACACGGCAACAAAACATGGCAGTGCATGGGGAATTTACTGGGTTAAGTGTCTCATCACTAATTTTCTTTCTCATCTCTAGTTTTAACGCTATAGGCTAGTAAACGTGTGTTTCCGCGATGTGAATAGACACGTTGGATTTCTCAATGAAACAAGGAAAGACATTTGGCACGGGATCAAAATTCTGACCGCTTAGAGGCCAGCTTTACGAACAAGTCTGAGCGTGTTGTAAGAACGTGCCAATCACACTCTGCATAGCGCTAGATTCAAAAGCTACCTATACCTGCAGTTACAAACATGATCAGACAAAACAACGGTTTAAATCCCCGCGCGAAGACATTGTCGATTTCGAACATGTTTCCTGGCGCTGATGAATGCGATTTTCAGTTTACGAGAAAGGGTGACATGTTGACTTTTCGGATGTATCAAAACAGTTTAAAGAAGATAGTACATAATGTGAAATCGGTGATCAGGGTAATCCTTTAATATAGTGGACTTGACGCCGTACACACGGAACATCGGCGTACAATACACTAGTTTGTTTACTGAGGTCAAACTGTCCGCACTGCCTGATAACATAGAGCAGCCCAGGCGACCAGGGCGAGTACACACGCTCTCACGCTATGTACAACCCTCTTGCAGAAATACACACGGAAAACGCCCATTTACACACCGCAGTTAACTAGGCCGCTACTGAAATCGAGTGAAATTGACATGGGTCGATTTCAAGCTACACTGAAATGTACTACCACGTGCGTAAAATAGAGTAATGAAGGTGTCATGCTCGACCTACCTTTCATGGTGGACTGGTGGAAACTGGAAGGCACAACACTACGCGTTCTACTACGTTGGTTCGTTGAAGTATTGGTTCCCGAAACATGGAAATCATTTTCTTTAAAGTCTAATCTGCGAACACCGTTGACAACTGCACCAGCTAGTGCTGGACTGAGCGGTGAATCCAACCCTCGACCAGCCTGTGTACTAGAAGATACTGTTGTTACTGCCGTCGACGTAGTATTATCCACCTGGGTTCCCGATGACACCATGTTCACACTCGATCTGTCTCTCACACGTCTTGACTTTGTGGAATATCCTTTTCTGTAGAAACTGGGAACGTATTCGTCTTCTTTCACTTCTGTTATCTCATATCGTCCTCCCGGTACTCCTGAATCTGTTTCTATATCGAAACCCCAATTGTTTTTCATGTCGGCTTTAGTACTCCGATCCATGTCGGAAAGAGCACGATCCAAATCCTTTCGGATTCGTTCATGATCCGGTGCCCCGAATAAACACCTCCGGACGGGTTTCTTTAAGCTCACTGGTCCTCGAATAGCCATGGTTAAAGTATCGGAAGTCCCAACAAGCACGGTTGTAGTACTATGGCCTGTCCGTGCGGCTAACAAGCTACGTATGCCGTTTAAAACCCCTCCGTGATACTATATAGGGCTCGAGTCAATACACTTGTCACGTGACAGGCCCCCCCAGTGGCCTCCTGAGCGCTGATTGGCTGATCCGACGGTCGCGGTTTATCTCTCGTGTCTGCCCGGCCCAGGCTTGTTCGGGCATCAACAGAAGGAAGAAAGCCGCGCTTGGGCCCACAAGTGACTGATATTTACATGTGAGGATGCGGAGCCACGAACATGTGTCGACTTGTACGTCAATGACTTGGCGAAATATACATGAAATTGACCATGAATCATATTGCTTACTTATTGTTGCAAACCTCACGTGTTAAAGAGGTTAGGATTTATGAAGGTTAAATAACTGGTGTTGGGCAGGGGTGACTGTTTACAATTGATTCAGGGTAAACAACAGCTTGATATATAATGAGCAGTGTACGGATTAGTCACTGCGGTAGTAAACTGCAGTAAACGGGACAGCTAGGTGGATTTCACTGAAATAGACAATAAAGTTTATGTGCTTATTTCAATTCAGCGAGAAACACGATATTTGTGACATGACTGCTACCGTGTGATCACAACAGCCATTGCGGTTAACAAAGCGACAGACAGTCAAAGGGAAGTAACTCTGCAGTGTTTATCCCCCATATGTCGTCGTTGAAATAGACAAGTTCGTGCTTGAAATCTTCAAGTATAAACAGTGTATGTGTGTACATTGTCGTAGAGAAATTTACACCGGCAGTTACGCTTCTGAAATGTGCATTGAAGTGTTCCTTTCATTCAAGTTTCTTTGTTCAGAAATATACTAGCAATGAGCGTTTCCTGATCAATAATCTATTGAAATATGAAACAGAGGCCCGTTATTGGTGTAACAGATGTTGCACCGCGTTTCACGTGCAAGACCGTGCGCGCACGTGCTTCACGCACAACAGCTGTTCAGCTCTCAAAATACCGTTACCAGCTCGTGTGCAATTCTGACAAAGAAATCGATACGTTCTCAAACTATAATGCCCTTTGTTGCGAGGTTAGATTTAATTATTGATCGCAGCAACGTCATTTAGTACTGCGAAACCATTGCAATAGTTATTAATAATTCCACTGGCGCAAGGCCTCTTGACTCAATTTAGAACGACAACCGTTTGATGTTAAATATAAAATTCCGTTACGTTTTATGAACGGAATCAAAGTGCCGAAAGTGTCCCGTTAGACAATGATTGATAATTCCTTTAGGATTTCAAACGGAATTAATTTATTCAACCTTCCGGTTATAGGGTTTCATCGATGTTTTCTAAATTCAAATTACTACCGATTCAACCGATTATTCATATTTCATTAATAATATATCGAAAGACAATTTGATTAATTAAAAAAATATCCATCCTCTCTCTGAGGAAACAGAAAACGGAGGAAATTATTTATTTCAAACGAAAGTGTTCACAAATGCGCCATAATACGGACGGACAGACAGATATTTTATTAGAGTCACCTCAGTACAATGATTTATATATATTTATAAAATAACATACAAATATTTATATTTAAAATACATAATAGGTGTTGGAATGGGAAGTCGATTAAGCTACGGCAACAAGGACCGAGATCAGGTAAATTAGTTTGCTGAAGTTTGTAGAACAATGAACTAAATGTGGCTATTGAAACGCTTGTTTGAAATCTACGCTCTTCAAAGACTATTACCACTGCCAATTACATCTCGTTAGATTATCACAACCTACTGTTAATTAGTGAAATTGTGGCATCTTCTGCAGCTATGACAACACCGAGGAAGCTTTATTGCGTGTAAATTGCACAAAAGACATCCATTTATGTCACCTACAGAGCGAGCCATGCTACTGACAACACACTTGTGCAATGAACAATACAGTAGATGAGGGTATTGACATCAAATACATGTTATGGACCTTGTACATTTCTCCTCAACATTGCTTCTACGCCATCTGTCGCAACTGATCGACAAGTGTCAATTTCGTTATCCACTTGTAAGTATCACTAACAATCAGAAATCGACAATGGACATCTGATGAGCTATTGTACATGTCGCTCAAGCGTGACGTCGGATGTAATCACAGACATCGGGATTAACGTGGACGTCGGAGACAGTCCGACCGCCAGAAATCCATTCTGTCGGGCGATGTTGATAGCCGTCACGGTGTGTCTCGGGTCATGTTGACTGCAAACCCCCGGTAGGTATTTCAACGGAATTAAAACAGTTTATCGACAGGCATCCACAATGTTATCACTCCGTTGGGGGAGTATTAGTGTCAGTTATTGAACTGATATGACACAACGATAGAAAACCATGAACAAATATTTGCTTTCATTAGAAACATCGTGCTGATTTCACCATAATGTGCTAGTTTATGTGTTCGTAGCCGGCACGTTTGCCTCAGGAAGAAACAATATAATCTCGCTCTTTGATCCTGAAATCATTGGATGTTTATTTTACATTACGGTTTCAGTCAATATTCGTTCGTTCATGCCTGATTCTATTAATACGATTTTTTAAGAATATGAGTAAATTATACCCGTGTTTAGTCCATAACAATGTAACGAAGTAGACTTGTATGGACATTACGGACAACATGATCTTGAACTAATCAACGTCAGTGTCACTAATTATTTTCACATTACTCAAATACATTGGATATATCTTATTGATATTTGACAAACCCTTGAAAATATACGTACAACGAAACGAGATCGATATTTAAAAGTATCTGTAAACAGATAAATTAGTGAGTGAGTGAGTGGGTCTTAACGCCGCTTTTAGCAATATTCCAGCAATATCATAGCGGGAACACCAGAAATGGGCTTAAACAGATATATTACATGTAAAGAAATATGAAACAGGTTCTTAAACGAGCACAAATAACACAGTCGTCTGTGAAATGTACATTTCTCGAATGAAATAGACAAGGTGCGTGCAAGGTCAATATCATCTACAGATATTGATTACACACTGCGTCACATCAGTGGAAAAGTCAATTGTGTCCAGTGTTATCTTTATATCAGGATCAAATACAAATGTTTCTGACGGTAACACGCATCAGATGAAATTGACGAGGCAACGGATGACATTGACAAGATCGGGATGCATTAGATCAGATTAGAAGACGTCACCTGTCACGGTTGCGTGACGTGTTGGCCTGGACTTAGAAATCACGCAAGACGAAATTGATTTTGGATCTTTTGTTGTAATTTAAAAGAAATATTAGATAAAAGCAGGTGTTGTTTAAGCTGCACACACCACACCGGCTGTGTTGGGGTGATGGGCGATATCGATCGCCTTCAGCCTACAATGGTATTACGACGCGATATCTTAGCGTAAGAGTCACGATTTGTTAAATGTTTCTTCTCGCCGGGTCACACATCACGCTATGTTTTAGATCTATCACATGGCGATAAAAAGTGAATCGATGTGAGGTTGTTGAATATGTATTTTATTTTGTCTTGACTCTTTTGGTGTGTTACATATGATTTATATACTTTGTTGTGACATCTTGTTTGCTTGTTTCAGTTCTATTCTGCACATAGACCTGTTCGTTAAGTTAGTTTTCAAATAGTTTTGCTTTATATACACATGTATATTGACGGAAACTAATAAGGGAACACAAGTATTCCCAGATTTCTACCTACGATGCCATACAAAGCATGCCAAACCCTGGATAGGAACAATGGAACTTTTATACTTTCATGCATGTTCTTATTTGTGTCCATTAGTATATTTATAAGATTTTGATTAAAACGCTGAAGGCATACTCTGGTATGTTTGTTATGTGTTTTGGAAATATTTCAGAAGAAAAAAAGTTTGGTAAAGGTATGACGCTGTAATTCTCTGTATATAAACAGTGTGTATGCAACAGAATGCCATACATATTGTGAGTTTGTAAATTCTTACAGCAACCTTCCAATATTTTATTACTCACTGTATCCATGTGGAGTGATTTACAAATTGAGCAACGTGTACACGTACGAAACTTTGAAAGAACCCTCCGTGTTTGCAGGAGAGAGACAGGGTAGCTGGATTATATGATAAGTAAATGAAGCGAGAGAGGAGAAAAGGGGGTTACCATGGAAACATATGGCAATGTTTTGTCGTCTACAATATTTCCAACGTTTTCTACATCGAACATACTACGACGCTATTTTCATAAATAAACAAACTGAGACGATTGGTGATAATTTACCAATTATGCCCCCAACTTATGAACCTTACAAGCGTTTGGCCAGCAAACCCATCACAACAACGGAAATACATTGTGCGTGTTATTCTAGAAAGCGATAGGGGTGTGCCAAGGGTCACATCTAAACCCCTCTTTCATGTATCTGCTCTGTTCTGCCAATTAACGTGTACTTCCATCTGTCTTGCCACGTGCGGCACACGCCAAAGATTGCCGCTACTGTCATCTATAACATGTACAAAGAGCCCTGTACGTCTTGGATAAAGATTACCAGACAACCCAGCCTCTTAAAAGGTCGAGCAGGGTTACCGACGCTGGTCCAAAGCAGAGATGAAATATGATCTAGAATCGCTGAAAATCGATAGTTTGTTGCCAGTGCCTAAAACAGACTTTATCCTTTGAGGGGCCGTTCGCTTTGTTGGGAGGGGGGACTTCACGTAATAATACGACGCACACCAGATGGCGCTGTGGGAGAACGGACGGCATGGAATGGGGAAAAGCGTGGTGGGACGGGACTGGTTACTGGGATGCACCGTGCACACGTCTTTGTTCTGAGCGAATGGTTCTGTTCAGAAATTTAGTGTTGATCTGAAGTGCAATAAAATCTGATAAGGGCGCGTTTGATTTATTTCACCCCAGACTATGCCGTATGTCCTCGGTATCGTGTGTTTTAACTCGTTCGTTTGGGCAACGCTTTGTGTATGTTTACAATATTTCTTCCCTTGTGGCATTGACATTTACTGACTGGACTTGTCGCGATGATGATGATGATAGTTAATATTATTTTTCTCTTTATTATCATTTAGGATGACAGCATCACTAACAT